ACATTAGAAGTTTTCTTTTACATTTGCATGTCTTACTATTAGCCATGATTATTCTACTCTGTTAATTAAAAGGCTGTTTATATGCATATTCACTAATTGTTTACGAGAAGCATACATGTAAGAGGCTAACAACTAGCTGAACATATACTTGTTTAATTGGTGACACTAAACCTGCATTTTAAAATCTTTATTTTTAAACCTTCAGTTGAATATGGCAACATAATATTGCACTCCAATACAATATTTCTATGAATAAATCTCTGACAGATACCCCTATCAGCCAATCACTGTGTGCGTAGTTAGTAAGCATGCTGACATCATCCATAGCAATGAGGTCAACCCCGTCCTTACTCTTAGCCTAAGACTTCTCTATATTCCTTAGTAAAAGTTTGTCTCAGGAGCTTTGTGAATAGGTTTTAAGAGAAAACTCTTAGCTAAAAACTTTTACTGCTTTTTAGGAGAAGTCTTAGTGGTAAGATAAAATGTTTTGTGAATACGGGTCCTGAACACCTAAGCAACAGCAAAAAGCAATAGCCTATCAACATCCCAGAACAACCTAGCAACCACTTAGCAAGAGTCTAGCAAGTGCATAGCAACACACTAAAAATACATACTGAACAATTTAGTAATCTGCATAGCAGTGTTCTATAACAACCCAGAACCAAAGCCAAAACCCTAGCAACCACACAGCATATCAGCACCTTAGCAACCACATAACATGCTAAAATCAACTGCATTGTAATGGCATATTAACCACCAAAAACAATCAAGAAACTACATAGCATCAGCCTAGAAACCACATAGCAACATGCTAAAAACAACTGCATTGCAATGGCATATTAACCACCAAATCAATCTAGCAACACCCTAGCAACTACATAGCAACATGCTAAAAACAACTGCATTGCAATGGCATATTAACCACCAAATCAATCTAGCAACACCCTAGCAACTACATAGCAACATGCTAAAAACAACTGCATTGCAATGGCATATTAACCACCCAAAACAATCTAGCAACTACCAATTTAACAACTACATGGCAACACCCTAGCAACCACACAGCAATATTCTAAAAATTTCAGAACACCTTAAGTGAATAGAAATGGCTTATTAGTCCAACCAAAAACACCCTAGCAACCACATAGCAACATCTACAAACCATTCAGAACACCTAGTAACTGCATAGCAATGGTCTATCAACAGACCAGAACAACCTAGCAACCACCTAGCAAAAGCCTAGTAACCACCTAAAAAATTTTTTTGTTGCATTTAATGCATTCCTATGCAGTTGCTTGGGTTTTCTAAATGTGTATACTAGAAAGGGAAATAAAGAACAAATATTTTAATAGTGATATTAAAATTTACATTTTCTTTAAGATGTATGAGCAGTGCAGTGGTTAGACTGTCGATTACAATTGTATACTGCTTACAGTTACCACTGATTACAAGTTACATAACGGCAATTGTAGTTAGTAACAATCTGTTGGATTACATATTAGGGTAATGTATTCTGACTACTTTTTGATTATTTTTGACCTAACTTGTGTGAAAATATTTTCCATTCTTTGTTTTAACATCATAAATTGCATTAAACATTACACTACACCAGACTTTCTGAATGTATACAGCAGTAAGATTTTTTAGAAAGGAAAATATGAGAGAAAAAAAAAAGAATTGAGGCAAATCAATATATTATGAATAATTTACTGCTATTGTGTAAATAATATGTAATCAATAACTTGAATCTGATTATGAGTACTTGAAAATGTAATACAATCTAATTACAAGTACTTATTGTTTGGAATCTGATAACGTAATCCAGATTACATGTAATCAGTTACTATCCAGCACTGTGTATGAGTGAACGGAAAGAGTCAGTTATTTTGAAACAATGCTTAGATTTATTTTTTTTTTTGCCGGAAGTCTATATTTGTTGTGTGAGGAATAGCTGGCATGAATAGCATGTCATGTTTCACATCTGGGTAAAATATCGCATGAGTGAATGTAACCTAATAGGTGCACATGAGAACATTAGCCTCGCAGGATGCTAAGCAATTCAGCTTCCCACATCTGTGCCAAATTCAGGTTTATTAGTTAGCTCGAGAGCATCAAATCACATTTTCGGATATAAAAATCCCCCCCTCCCCCCCGCACATGTGATCCAGCAGCGCTTAAGCTCTGTGGTCAGTCTCTGTGAGTTATTACCTTGTGTTCATAAATTACGCAATGCTTCGCCCCAAAACTAAAGTTACACAAGCATTCTGGACTGCCCTGTAAGGGAACAGTTGGTATGCCAACTAATCCAGGCAAAACTCTGGCTGAAAGCAAAACGGAGGAAATAAAAGGAATGTCAGCTTTAATTTGGTTAATTTATATATAATGACCTCACTGCCAAATGTGCTACGCTGGATAGTCTTCATATGAATGCTGCCCAGTAGCAGGAAGTTCCCTGTACACAGATTGTCCAGTGGTGAATCATAATTTTTGTTGAAATACAGTCCACAACTATCTGTGCCCAGGAAACAAGGCTTACATTTTTAAATTGTTAATATCATGAAACATAAATTGACTTTTATGTTGTGATTTTTCCTTTATCTTTTTTTGGACTAATAGAACCCACAAACATTCCAATAAATGGAACTACGAAAAGCAAATTAATTATAAAATATTATGTGACACTGAAGACTGGAGTAATGGAATCCGAAAATTCAGATTTGCAATCTAAGGAACGAATTATGTATTAAAATATATTTAAACAGAAAACAGTTATTTTAAATTGTAATAATATTTCATAATATTTCTACATTTTAATGTATTTTTGATCAATTAAATGCAGCCATTGTGAGCATAAGAAAAGTCTTACTGACCACAAACTTTTTAATGTTAGTATATAAAGCTTTCAAAACATTTTAATGACAGTGCTAGCAATCCACCACTGTTTTATTGTAATAAAAATAGTTGTATTATAATAATAAGGGTACTTTGGTGAAAATTATTATGATAAATTGTAAGGGAATGGTGTAGGTAGACCTACTAATTTAATGCTGTTAGTGGGATTCTGTGTGTTGGATACAAATTGCAAACAAGCAGTTAATATGCTGAAATTGCCTCAGTTTTACAGAATCTACCATAGCTTCTGATTTACCTTTGGTGAGACCAGGTTCAAACTCATCATGTCCAAAATGGGAAAATGTGAGGTTTTAAGCCTCACATTCACAATCACAGCAGGACGGCAGGGTAGCAGGTGGACTTGGTCTGGATTTTCATCACTTCACAGTTTTTGTCCACAACTGTCCTGCATGCACAAATCATCATCACCATCATCATCAACTCTATTTTCCTCTCTAAATCAGCTGGGAACAGCCTGAAAGGACTGTAAAGAAAATGAAATCAATTTGACGAGCCAATATTGAAAGACAAAATCTGAATACTACTTGTTTAAATATTGTGTTTTATGACTTTAAATGACGTCACTTAAACCATAAAAGTTTAGGCAGGGTCCATAAAGTAGACTTTTTTTTTTAACATTTTTCACAGATAATATCAGAGCACTCAGAAGAAAAGCTTTATTTTGGGAAAACGATCAGTTCAGGGCCAGTGCTTCCAGTGTTAATAGGGAGCAGTTCTCACATGGTTGAAAGAACCAGATGAAAGCGGGTTTTAAAAACCTGAAAAGATTAGTTAGCCATATCTCAAGCTGTTTTATCAACATTTCTGACTTCAGATTCAAAATGTCCCTATATTGGCAGTGAATTTAGAGCCTGCAACCAGATTTACAGGTTGACAGTCTTGAATTTAAAATAGCTATGTGAGTCTTGCCATTGGGCTGACAGTATAATGTAAGCTATCATGTGATGGTAAAAATGTGTCAACTGGGAGAGATCTGGCTGTACTGTTTATTCCGTGGTCACTTACCTTCAATCTTTTGTCACCACCTACATCACAGTTACAATGACAGCACTTTCTCTACAGACATGTTAAAAAAATCTCTCTTCTCTCTCCAAAATACTGCTTGCTTTCTTCTTTCCTATCTATACCTTAATTATGCACTTGGAATAGAGTTAGTATAAATATTGTTGGCTCTGAAAAAAGGCTCTGGTATGATAAAAAATAAATGTACTACAGTTAAAAAAAAAGTAAATTATTTTTTACTGAACTTGCAGGAAATTAACTGGCTTTCAGTTAATACAAACCTGCATAAAATCATTAAAAATCATTTTGTTGTACCACAAATCCTTATTTATCATGAGATTTTAACCACATAGAAGTTCATTTCATAATATAATTATGACTGTCAATCCAGTCAGAACGGTTTTATAATATTAGTTATATTGTTTAGAGACTTTTCTTCTTAAATCTGTTACATAATGTGAAGTTGGTTCTGAACAGATGCCAAACTTTTGTTCAAATAATAATAACAGGCATTATGGTTATTAAAATATAAAGTGGGGAAAATATCTACATAATATATGTATAATACAAAATGTATACAATTTTTAAAAACTATGTATGATTTTGTCAGACCGCAAACCCCTATGGCACATGATATTTTATAGATAGTCGTAACCACAGGGATGTTAGTCTATCATAATATAATTACCATTTCAATTCACCTCATATTAAAACATGCCCTTCCCAAATGCTTTACATAACCCTGATTTGCATCTACACCATCATGTTCAAATCGTATTCCTTTGGCAACCTTTTAGTCTGGACGCATATCGGAGCAGCGCATTATGGCAGTGCGTCCGCGTCCGCGACACGCTTGGAGAGCCACGGGACGCGCTCAATTCAGACAGTAGATGGCAGCAGCCCAAGAAAGCTGATCCCGTCGGGTTCACCACTGCTCTGCCTCTCAGTTGTGCAGCAGCACTCGCACTGGAGGCAGCGGTGGTTTGAGGGACGTCCAATGAAACAGAAGAGCCGCCAGCTGCTCCTTTCGACTTTTACGCGTAGCCTGTCCTCCGCACCCGGAGACAGCACGTTCTGAAACCGCCATGGAAGACAAATCCAATTCGTTCTCGAGCAACAAAGAGGAGAAAGCGGATGGGAATAATGTGTTCCAGAGGCAAGACTCGATCTTGAAGAACAGCATGGGGAGCCAGAACATGAAAGACCACGGCAACTCAGTGGGTTCAAAGGGGGACCGGGAAGAAGCCATGGTCGGGTTTGAAGATATAGACGCCGCGTCCAGGCAACACGGGTTTATGCAGCGGCAATTTGGAGCCATGATGCAGCCCGGCGTGAATAAGTTCTCCTTGCGGATGTTCGGGAGTCAGAAAGCTGTGGAGAAAGAGCAGGAGAGAGTGCAGACGGCTGGATATTGGATCATTCACCCCTATAGTGATTTTAGGTAAGGAGTGTGGAAAGTCACCTTCCCACGCACACTCAGGTCACGGTAAAATGGGCTCTGCGTGCGCCGCGCGCCGCGTTTGCGGTCGTTTTGCGTGGCGTTTCGGGGAACCAGAACCTGAACGCACGCAATGCCCTTGGCACGAGTAGGGGTGAATGTCATCTCGGTGAATAAACGGCACGGCAGTCATCATGGGACGTCTTCGACCTGCCATCATTGGGCATTCAATTCTGTTGTTGTGTAAGACGCGTGTGCTGGTGCGCGCAGGGAATGATGCACCACTCTTTGGCATTGTAAAAACATAGCTGTTAGTGTCTGCCGTGAGATGAGAAGGAACGAGGGTGGCTGTGAGATCACGTCTTGTTTTGAGGCAGAAGCACGCAGATTATTCTATTGTTTTATCTCGTGGCTCTGTATGGTCCCGTGTGGCTCTCACCAGATAACAGCCCATGCCAATTTTAGCGCTGGGACAGTTGATCTAAAGCAGTTTAACGCTAATCGCGTTAGTCAGGTGAATGGAGGGGATTTTCAAACCCAGTGCCCCCCACGAGAATGCACAACTTGACTGGCCAGTCTACTTCAAATTAGACTACTACGGGCAAAAATTTGGCCATTTGGCACTAGATTATTGGCAAATAGCTTGTTAGGAAGGGAATAATTACATAAGCAACAGCATAATATCATATTGTTGTGCATCATTTGGAGTTTGTTGGTCCACTTGGACGTTTGAAGTCTCCAGTTTGTTTCTCACCCCATTGCGCCAATATAGACAGACAGACAGACAGACAGATAGATAGATAGACAGATAGATAGATAGATAGATAGATAGATAGATGCATAAATGAATATATATACTGCAAAAATGTCTGAAAAATATGGTTAGGTGGTTTACCTCACCATATACGGTAAAACATCATTTACATTTTTTTTTGCTGTATAAATGTTTACTGTAATTTTTTAACATTTTATTAGTAAAAAATATCAACCACCTTATATATGGGAAACAGGACTTTCCCAGAATTCTTTTTGTGCGTAAACCACCACATTTCTTTCTTATTTTTATTTGTCATAGTTGTTGGAGAAGCTAATGTTTATGAATTTAAAGTCATCATATGGCTTTCAATTGGACAACTGGAGTTATTTTTTTGTACATTTAACATTTACTGTACTTTTTACTGAAAAGTAACAAAAGATATTAATAGCTAAAATAGGTTATCATTTCATGACATATACAGTTAGGAACTAAAATGATGCAGTCAGCAAAATGCTTGAAACATCAAACAACATGTTTTTACAGTAAAGTTCTGACAACCACAGCTGTTTTTTGTTTTTTTTACCATAATTGTATAGATAAACATTATAGATAAATAGACAGAGACAGACATACAGACACACAGATAGATAGATAGATAGATAGATAGATAGATGCAAGGCAGAAAGGATGGTGTGTCTGATCAGTAGTTTCAGCCCGTAACGCTCTCCATGGTGCTGAAAAGAGCTCCACACTGTCTATGAATGTGGAGAACTCTATCCCATACAGGGTCATTAGCTCGACTCCCACCTGTCTCACTGTTTTATTTATCCCGTGTACTTGATGTATTTTGCTTTGGCATATCATGTGTAACATGTTAGAGCAAAACAACTCAGATGTTACAGTCCCAAGTCACTACCTAACTACAAAAGCAGGGTCATTCCTAATCCTAATATATTAAACAAATCACGTTTTTTGGAAATATTGTTCAAATTCATAATCAGCCTATCAGTTTTTCCTGTGTCCCCAATGCCACTTTCTTGTTAGTCTTGTAAAATCTTGTAAAATTGAAATTAAACACTCAATCAAAGTCAACACCATGTAAATAAATAAAGAAACACCTTAATATTTCTTAATAAATTGCCAGTTTCTCATGTTAGGAGGAGACTTGGCAAATATGGCGACATCTGTTCAGTAGTGAAATTGGGTTCCATCATGCTACTTTGTGCAAATAATCAAGCTGTAATTAATTAACATTAAGTGCCTGAGCAAGTCCAAAAGCTAATTTCTCAAGTAAAAGGCTGGTGTACCTTAGAAGTATGTACTTACAACACATATCCATTATTTTTGTAGCTACAGAGGTCAGCCAATACTGCAACATATGAATGACCCATTATGTCTGCTGTAAGTCCATTTCTACTGCAACTACTACTTGACATTTAGCTGATGTTTTTATGCGATGCGACTCTCAATGCACTTATTATCCCCCCCCCCTGGGGATAGTTCATGGATTAAATCCTACAACCTTTCAGGTCTTTAACCACTCGGCTACGCCACCCCTGAAACAGATCAGAACGGTTTGTGTAAAGCCCTTCAACATCAGAGCAGGGATGAGAGAAGGTGAGATCGGATTAGATGTCCAACACACACTGAACGAGATTAACATCGCTTTGAACCCTGTGATGTAACATGATTGACCTTTCTGCCATAATGTACAAAGGATGTGGCTGCTTAACAATCACATACTGTACGATATACAACTTATTAAGGAGGTCATTTTGAGAATCCAGTAATTAAAGCTGAAGTGTGTACATTTTCTGATGCCAGAATACAGATGGCAATATGCAGAGGAAAATTATAATTTTTTTATAAATTATATAAAAAAATGTAAATTTTCCTTTAAAATAAAGTCTTAAAAAAATTGGATCTGTGGCACTTTCAAAACATTGAAATAATTGGGCATCTCAACTCAGCAACACTATTTCAACCAATGGAGTGATTTGGGGGGGCGGCACTATCTGTTTGGCTGACCAACGGCAGACAGGGGGAGTGTTCTGGAAACTCGTTTAAAAAGAAAATTATGGACTTCAGGTATAAATACTTTTTTAAATGGTTGACATTTCTGTATACAGATTGTTTGAAAAAGTTATTTAAAAAAAAGGCCATAATTCATGAGGAGTGTTATTATTGTATTATTAAAAGTTATTTTTGTTAATTGAAATTTAAGCATTAGACGAAAAAACTTTAAGTGAAAATTAGAAATGTTGCCTTGGCAACTAACCGAAAAAAAAAAAAATAAGTTGAAGTATTATAATTACGAAAACAAAAAATTCAAATAAAGCAAAACATAAATAATTAAAAACAAACAACAATGAAAAAGTACATAAAATGACTAAAACTAAAACTTACATGAAAACTTCAATTTAAAAAATGTTCACAAAAATGAGAAATGTCACCTTGGAAACTGAAATAAAAAGTTAAAGTTGAAGTACTTTCAACTTTATGAACAAAAAAATAAAGCAAAACAAATAATTTAAACAAAAACTAATAAAAATCTCAAAGCATGTAACAATACGACTAAAACTTAAACTAAAAAAACATAAATGAAAATTAGAAATGTCTTAAAAAAAGTTAAAGTTGAAGTACTAAAATTACTTAAACATAAATAAAAATAAAGCAAACAAAAACGAATAAAAATCACAAAAGCATGTAAAAATATGACTAAAACAAACTAAAATTTACATGAAAACTTAAACTTTAAAAACAAATGAAAATTTGAAATGTTGCCTTGGAAACTAACTCAAATCAAATAAGTTTAAGTACTAAAATTAAACTAAAATAGAAATAAAAATTAAGCAAAACAATAATAATTTAAACAAAAATGAATACAGTATTGCTACTAAAATAACACTCTTTATGAACAGCCCAAAGGCATCGTCTTTTTTTTAAATAAATTAATTTGGTACTAGCTACTTCATAGCATTCTTAGACGGCCATGCTTCAATTCTGCAGGTGGTAAACACGATATCGAGTGCACTTTGATCGCACTTGCCAAATAGACTTTACATCAAAGAGAGAACCATAAAAGGAGAAAACAGGTGAGAAAGAGAAAACAGAAGATATGAAGGGGGAGACAGTGGACAGAAAGAAAAATAGAGTGAATAGGAGGATGACAGTCATTATTGCTTCTAATGGCCGAAAGCCTGAACCGTGTGATACTGGCTACACTTGGCAGGCTTCGGTATCATCTGCTCATTTACAATGGCCTTTCTTTCTCAGCCACACAGGGAACTGCTCTTTTGTTTCTAAGCTTTTTCAAGTTAATTTTGTGAAATTTGCTCATTTTCTTCCAATAATGTCCCAGCTGTGAACCGAAAATTTTGGAACCAGCGACACCACATGAGTGACAACAGCATTCACCTGTGCTGTTTTGGTTCTGATGCATTAGGAAACTCAATATCTCAATGTGGTTCTTTAAAGATTAATAGGAGGTTAGTAAGATTTATTATTCATTGTTTTCAGAAAGGGCTCATGCTTGACTTGATGTGGCCTGAGCTCTTTTGTCATCGGCTTTTGTCACGCGTGACTCAGTCGTATGTTTCTTTTATCGGTCCTCCATATTGCATGTCATCTGTCTCTTGCTTTCCCTGTTTGTCCAGCCTATTGCTGTGGTCACAATTCTTCATCGGGGAAAGGAAAATCTATTGAAGGTCTTCAGACGTGACTGACGTCACCTTCCCAGAATTTCTTCACCGTTTCGAGTGACTTTGTGCGTGTTTTTTCTTTTTCTTTTTTAGTGGCAGGATTTATCAGGTAACGGATGAGCTCGGGTCAAATCTCTGGCTTATAAATCAATCACACACGTTGTGGAAAAGCAGGATTTGTATGTGAGCAGATTCCTTCTCCCTATCAAACGGCCTCTGATTTCTAAACCCAGATTAACCTCTATTTTTAGGGGCATGCAAGTTTGTCTTGCATTATTGATGCTTTTTGCTGTTGCTTTTTGGAGGCTTGTCTCAAAGACATGTCCCAAAGTCTAATGAAGGTCTTTGTGAGTGCGTGTCTCACCCTTTCCAAATTGATGCCCCTTGGTACTCTTTAAATAGCCTAAGTCTGTTTTTTTTTTCTCAGATACAATGCTGAAGAACACCCAATTTATGAATGCAGTGTGACTGCAGAGCTCTGCAAACAGGCCACAGCAAGTTTTATGTCCACCAAAAAAAAATTAAATAAATAAATAAATGTATCT